GTTATCAACTGTATCAAGTGAGTGATTTTCACTAATACAGATATTAATGCATTCACTGCTTGGAATTTTGTGCAAAGCTGTCTTCAAACTGGTTGTTGAAGATGATGAAGTAGTCGCTATTTGGAGTTATGTTAGTTTGCAGGTATACAGGAGTTTGGTAGATCCAAATATATGATATACTGTGTAAAGTTATTAAGTAAGCAGTAGCATGGGATGGATATGAGGATGACAGACGGTTCTGAAGTCAGTTTGGCAGTTCAGGGGACAGTTTGGAGCCTTTAAAGCTCGGGCCACCAAATGTCTGAACAGCTATGGTTTATTGAGGCATCTGTAAGCTTAGTCATTTTATTGCCAAGCTTGGCTCGTGTACCCACCGTCATGGAGAGAGAGAAAAAAACACACACACAAAAGTTTGCTGTTTGCCTTCATTCCACCAAATCCTTGACAGCCGTGCTATAGCCCATCACTATTCACACCATTGTGCTGTCACAACAACTAAACACATCATTTGTGTTGCAGAAACTCATCCTGTATGTATCAAATACCAAATGTTTGGCGACTGAGAGAGGGGATGGTGGGGGGGCTGCATAATTTGCTAGGAAACATTTTACCGAACATTTGGTGATAAAAACGCCGGCGTCGGCCCCGAGGCTTAAAGCAATTAATTCAGGATCCTGACATAAACTCTCCAATCCTTTGACAGCTTGGAGCTGAAATAAAAATGCTAGTTCTCCTGGGAACGGCAGGAGATAGCTGGCTCTTTTCTGGACTGTTTGCTCACTGGCCCTGAGAGCAATCTTCCCCAGTCAGAATGAAATGCAAGGACACAAACAATGTACCGGCGAGAGAATGGGAGATGGGGAATGAACAGTTTGGACTATTTGCTCAGCAGAAGGGCAGCCACAATGGCCGGCCCATGGCTTTCCCATGCATCAAGCCTCTTAGTCTTAGGCCTCCCTTTGTTGCCTGGTTTCTTCTTCTCTGGCCAGATAAGAGCCCAGCTGCCCTATACTTTTAATTCCCATTGTACACCATACTGTATGGTCATTTATCTGTCCACATTCTGCCTGCCATGACAGTGTTGTCTAATTGAACGGGTTATCGCGTGTGTATCTCTGTTCACCTTAGCATGTGTACTCGTTTAGGGATTGAATCGCTCTCACTTTGCCATAAAAGGCAGGGTGGCAGCCGGGGAGGGGGATAACGGCTGACCCCTCTTCTCTTCTTAGAGGAGGCAGCACAAGTCAAGCACAGAGTGCGATAACGATACCCAAGTGGTTTTTGCATAGGACTGAATTAAAAATGTTGTGCATTTTGAATATTTTTTATTAACCAAGGAAAAAAATGTTTAGAGTTAGATTTGGGATACAGGAAAAATCTAAGTGAAGGGTCCACTTTCTTGAACCCGACACAGATGCACTTTTCCAGCCAGAGGCAGAAAGCGTCCGAGGGCCCTTGAGGGAGAAATGAGATGCAGTCATTATATGACCTAATGGCAACTCCAGCCAGAGGAGAGGGCAAACAGAGCAAGTGTAGTGGCTCTGGCTGAGAGAAGGATCCATATTGTGCTCTTTTGTTTTGGTTTGTTGGTTTGTGTTTGCATTTACATTGACCAGTTCTCTGCTGAATGTGTATTCACACTCAATACATGTAATGTTGTCTGTGTGGCAGGAAATGAAAGTAGCGTGCTTCACTGTTGAAGTCTGCTGGGAATAACATAACAATAGTAAATGTATCTGAAACAAACAAACAAACAAACAAGTAAAAAAAGGAGAAGTGGGATGTCACAGGACGATCAATACACATAAGATGAAGGAGCATATTCATGCATGTGAGCAGACACTTGCCTAAACACAAACACACACACACGCACGCACGCACACACGCCCATCCCCCTCTGTAAAGGTTGTGGTGTCAGGGACCCCCTGGGTGGTCAGACTGAGGATGATTTCTACACAATATGATGCTGTGAAGGAAAACCTTTGAGAAAAGAGATTCACTGACTGTGTTTATTTCACTGTCACATTTATATAACTTCTTAGAAATACATCTGTTGTATGCAGTTTTTCTTTAAAGATGTAATATATTTGAAGAGAGTGACATTTTGGGTTACGAAACATGCACACAGACACACTGCAGGAAAACTTGTTCTTTTGCCACCGGAGTGAAAACTCAACCAATGATGATTCCACAATGGTTTATTCTAATGGCTAAGCTCTTAATCTATCAGATCAGATTTCAAAGTGCTAGTAGCTGTGCCAAGACAGGTCCCAGGAAGGAAAACCCTTTTGTTTGGGGCATAAAATTTAAAATTTAAGACCAGACTTTATTCACAAGGGCCCTAATCACAAAAAAGAAAAAGGTATGACCTGTTACGGAAGCAATACCTCAAAGAGCAACATCGTTAAGAAACAGTAAGTGCTTGTTTTCACATCCACCTTTGGTGCACCACCAGCGCTTTGCCAGCATGTCAGACCTCAGGTATGGCAAGATAAATAGCTGTCTTATTTGTGCCTGTGAGAGCCAAGCTCCTTGTGGGGTGGTGCTCTCAGCTTCACGCTCCACCAACGCTGAAATAAAGCTCTGTTAGAGGCATTTCAACACTGCTTAAGGTTGTCCGTGGCCGTGTAATTTATGAGTTGAGAGGACTTCGTTTTTAAGTTCACTATGACCTACAATCTTCCAGCATTCATGGGTGGAGAAAAGAGCTGTGTGAGTCATAGGAAACTTACAACACCCCACCAATTACCTTAAACAATGGCGGTCTGAGTGATACCTGTAGCACTCCGGTGTGTGGTTCAGTCACTAAATGTGATGTGATGTGACCTAAAGTAATTGGATGTGTAGGCACTTTAACAGGTTAGGTATTTTGTCACCTGTAGGTCAGTATAAAGCTGGAAGGAGGTAGACAGAGCTGTTCAACTCATGCCCAAGAGCTCTCAGTGGGTGGTCACATGGACAGACAGAGAGACAGAGAGACGGAATGACATACTGACTTGTGCTTGCTGGCACTGGTTGCCGCTTTGGCAACCCGTGGCAGAAGAAATAATAGCCTCCTCAGAGGATGACTATGATGAGGTTTATGGAATTTGTATTTGTAATATAGAGTAATAAAGAGTAAAAGATATAGATATAGTGTTGTTTTTATTTTTTGAACATTGAGGTAGTTCAGACAAATGTAGTGTGAGGTGTTATAAATATATACAATATAAAACAATAACTAAATTATTCACAATTAATACATTGATTTTTGTGTTTGTGAAAAATAGCAATATTCCAATATTGATTGATATATAATATGTACAACAGCCTCTTTCTCTGTTTTTGCTGAAAACATTAAAGTCTTCATTCATATGTTAAAAACAAACAAAATACTTAAATTCATTATCAGAAATCATTTTTACTCAGTACATAAATCAAAATGCAAACTGGGTTTTAAAATAAATGGAAATGTGATTTACAGTCACACTGTTTAAACTGTTAAACATTTATATGTACATATCTTGTGTTTGTCCTTTGTTACAACGAGTGGATATATGACTGTATAATTGTGTTTTATTGCTAAGCCACCACATAAAGGGAAATTGAACCACACATTATCAGGTTGGTTTTATCATTGGTTCCACATCGTGAAATTTACAATCAAAGTAATTATATTTTGTTTATATTATGACCACAAAAACAAAAAAATATGACTGTCAAAACTCCTCTGGAAAAAAAATGCTATTAAAACGATTTTTTTTATGGCAAATAAATGTAGATACATATTTTTTATTGTATTTTTAGATTTGTATTTAATTAGATACAACATAATAGATTTTTGAAAAATGCATTTGGTTTAGTTGGTATTATTAATCCAACTAATTATCAATTACCATGTAGTTGCTTACTATGAATTTGAAGACAATCAACATTACAACTATCTTAAGATCTCTTGCAATAATTAAAATCAGGTTTTAAGAATACGTAAAACAAATATTAAATCATTATGTAGAATTCATTTTGTAAAATATATTTATCTAAATATGTAGATGCATATATATTTCATTGTCATTATATATTTGAAATAATGATAATCATTTTTTGACAAAATGTTAATAACAAAAACAACAACAGCAAAAGCAAATATTAACAAAAATATTAAAAGATTGAAATGTTCTCTTTATACTGCATATTATATATTATATATTTATGATTTACAATTATATGAATTTTACAGGCAATGTAAAAAGGACATTTATTTTACTACCTTTACGGCTGCAATAAAAATTGTTTTTGGTTGCCTTCATTTTATATTAGATAAAAATTAATTACAGAAGTGAATTGCGTAAGTGTTTTCAACTTCTTTATCTAAATTCCGTTTACGCTGGGACATTTTGACGTCCATGTTTCATATTAGTTTTGTTGGACACTTTCAGGGCCCGGCAGCGCCAGACATGGCTGTACCATTCACATTACCTCTCTGCCAATGTGTGAATGTCAACACCCAGTAAACACCTTTGACACACATGCTTGAATGCGACGGGCGAGTTAACTAAACATTCCTGGGTGTTCCCCATAAAGGTCTACCACTCATCCACCAGACTGCACTGACCCGTCTCCCACGCTACAGACTGCTCTACTCATGGAGCATCCTGGAAGGATTTTTTTCCTTCATATGTTTGCGTTTGTTTTATTAAACGTTTTACTGTTTATTTATCTTCTCAGACACACATAAAAAACATTAAAAGATATAAAAACGAAATTGTAATAATTCACCTGTCCATATCTGGCAGTTTTCTTCCTGTGTATTTGCCTTAAAATGCTATGGAACAGTGCTCTAGACGGATTTGGGAATTTGGGAGTATAATTCCAGCTGCGTGCTTATCGCCACACCCAGACTATTTGAGTGTTTTGAGATGCTGGCTCCCTGAGGACGGATCGAAGGCGTCCTAGTAGAACTGCACATCAAATAAATAGGAGGATGGGATTTATATGGAGGCTGTGTCTCTGTCAAATAGGGCTCTGCTGACTGAAGTGATCCCCACGGCCCGAGTGGAAGAGAGGAGGGAGAGGAAGCCTCAGAGGGACGAGGGATAGCTGCAGAAGAGCTTCACTGATGCACACACACACACACACACACACACTCACTCACTCAAACACTTACACAATGTCCCTCTCAGTCCTGGGTTGTGACCGGCCCATGGCATTGGCCAGGTATGTCAACTATGTTTGCCAAGCTATCCATCACCCATGCACCTTCCCTCCTGAAACAGGAACTTTTGTTTGAAGCATACACTTGTTAAGCCCATCCTTTGACTCTGCTCGACCTAATTTATTTCCTTATAGCTGAGACAGAGGATTTATTAGCACCTATGTTTTGTTCTTTATATTCCTCTTATTGTTCACTGCATAGTGCAAATGTGTTGGTAGAAACATAGGCGTGTTGTCAGTAAGAGAGATTGCAAGCTACAGTTTGGGGACACCAATGGCCCTTATCATCGGTGACCAGGGTTAGCAAATAAACATACTGCAGCGAAGTCAAGCTGCATGTAAGGAAAGAAAAGATTTATGGCTGTGTGACATGATGAAGAGATTTTTATTTCTGGTCGAGTTCCTCCCTCACGCTACAGCAGAAGGAAATTAAATTGATGTATGTTTCCATACGAAGCTAAAAATGTTGAAAATTGCTCTTCTAATTAAGTTGGGTTTAAGTATTTTTTTTAAATGATCTTGCACAGAAAACCATTTAATTATCCTTAAACCAGTTATTCATAAAAGAACAAGGAAGAGTAAAACAGACATGAGAAACTAGAATACTTGATGTTGAGAGGCAAAGAGGTTTCCATAGATTTAAGGAAGTACCGCACTGATGTTAACGCAAACACAAACCTGAGTCATTTCACTATTGTTGGCCAGCTTGAGAACATATTGTCTGAGTGAGACTCTGACATGAGAACCAGTCACAAACGTCTCAAAAGAAACCTACGTATGGGCTGGTATGTTTGCTAAAGCACCTAAGTTGGAGCCTTAGTTCATTCTCTGAAACACAACCTTCATTTATCTTTTGACTTCTACTCCGAGCAGGCGAGAGAGCAGATATCACTAAAAGTGCTACGTTAATGATTGACTCTCCGCGCACCAAGCATCCTGCGTTGAGTGGCCACTTTGCCTGCTCTTGTGCTGCATTTTCAGCCGTAAATGTTTGTGATCCCACTATCCTCTCCAACTCCCATACAGTATTATTAGCACTGGGGGGTTAGGGTGGGGTCATGAGTAACTTTCAATAAAGAACCATTGGCATGCTGAGGTAAATGGGAGATAAGAGTTTGTCTCGGACCCTTTTAGTGCTTTATAAGAATGTGGTTGTGTAAACCTAATCTCCCCTCAAGATAAATTTGGTCCTGCTTTGTGAAGGCAAGTTCATGCATTGCTTTTTTTTTTTTACTTCTAAAGCCCACTTTGACAAGCGTGAAATGAGCCCTGGACTTTTCATTGACAGTTCAAGATGGAGAGCAAACTGAGATTAGGGCATGTTAATTAATTGTGGGGTTGGTAAAGTGGCCTCCCATCCTGTGAAAGACTTGCTCCGTTTATTGCCATCTTGCCAATCAGTGACAAGAGTGTAATCATGAATTTGCCGTCCTTATTCTAACTTTTTTTTGTTTGGTAGTATAGGAGTTCCAGTGTAATTACCCACACTTATTGAGCATTTATATACCACCCAGATGTATTGATGGTACTTACCAGCTCACTTCTACCAGTTAACACAGTTTTACAGTTGTTGTATTGTAAAATAACATAAAATTACATCTAATGTTTCGTAAGACTGACCTGTGTTTTCCCTATCTTCTACAGATGCACATGGCTTTCATTTGAAGGACAGATTTCCATGGCTGCTTCCGTCTACTTTCATCACCCTGCATCAAGCGACCTGAAAGCACTTCCTTGTCGATGTACTTGGCTATATCTACGTCTGACCTGTCTGCCATATGTAATATCAAAGCCTCTGTCAGCGTGGAGCTGAATGGGAACAAAAGAGAGGCCTCCATTAATGATTAACTGTTCTAAAAGCCCCGGCTTTTGTATTCCCATGGTGCCCAGGCTATCTGGCCACCATGTGACATGCTCACAGCATTTTTCGAGCAGATTGGGGGAAAGCTAGTGAGCAAACACAGGTGCTTTGGAGCAGCGTTGCCGACGCTGTCAGGGACAACCACAAACAAGAGCAGCTATGCCTGGCTAAATGAATCCCCACCCCTCCCGACACCATCACCACCTCCACCACCCCCTCTCTGTCGCTAGCTAACTTCTTTGCTAGCTCCCTATAGCTTTCTCCCCGCAAAGCCTTCCTTCTGGAGAGTCGTCCCCCCCCCCAACAAGTCCAATGTCTGCTACGGCCGCGCTCTACAACTTCTCACACCCTCCAAAGAAACAAACAAATAAAAGTGAGGACAGCCGACCACTTCTTTGAGGTGATGGCATTTGCTGTGGTCATGACTAGTGGGAGAGCAAACAAATTAATGATGTTCGAGTTTTCACTTTCCAAACCAAACTAAATGTCTTTTAGCTCAAGTGGGGCAATTCCACTGACCCTGGTGTCAAACACTGTATAAGGGTTGCACACTCTTGCACTTGAAATGCTGAGAGGAGGCCGTAAGAAATTAAATAGGACTTGAGTTTTGGTCTTCATGAACCTGGTGTGTTGAAACACCACAAAGCAACACGTGACAAATAAATCTTGAATAAATTGTGTGTGTAATAAACATGGTTTATTTTTTCTGTCTGTGTATTTCCACCACAAACTTTAACAAGAGGTGTCTGGAGCACTTAACCTTTTCTTCCAGGCTGACTGATTGTTCAGAGTGACTGTGGCTGCTGTGTCGCTCAACTTTGATAAGACAATCAGATGATAGGATGGCGTTATCTTAACATGGCTTTCCGGCTGGGGGACAAATGAACAGTGTGTGATAACAGGAACAAAAGCTTGGCTCTTATTGGCTGGCTCCTCCAAAGGAAGGAAAAATTATCAGGATGGAAAATTCACAATGGGCGCAGTTTTCATTTTCAATTTTCTACTTAGCGCAGGTTGCAGGAACAGCTTTTTTTCTAATCACTCAAATATTTATATTGTCTCTTGTTGGCATTTTGGTTTCACAGTCTGCAATTACCTGCGTCTATAAAGCGGTTATTATCACTGGAAAGATGATAAAAATGTTTTAAAACAAACAATTTATATCAACAGGACAGGAAATGAAGTTGTAAAAGTGAGAGACAGATGCAGAGAAGGAGAGGCAGACAGGGTAAAAATATATACACTGTAGACGTATTTATAGAGAAATTGAAGGATAGAAAAATCGTGTGTGTGTGTGAAAGGAAGAGATGGAAAGATGTATGAACGAGAAGGTCAAAAGTTGTTTCTTCAGAGACCTGCTACTGATCAGTAAACGCCACTTCTGTCTGGGTTTTCTGACTTTTGCAGCCCAATTCTCAGAGTCAGAGACGGCCTTGTATACTCAAGGATTCACTCAGGGATTTGTTTGCTCTATTGCCAAAAAAAATGATTGGAAAAATATTGGTGCCCTGGCAGGAAATATGAGAACTTTCTTAGAACTAAAAAAAAACTTGCAACCGTGTAGAAATTGGATGAATAAAATATATCTTTTAAAGAAAAGGTGTCATGTATTATTTGAAATGTAATTTTTTAAAAATGTTTTTAGACTTTTAAAGTATTTTCAATGAACAGTCCTCAATTTTGTGATAATGGGAATATTCTAAATTGAATGTAACCTGCTTAAACCATTCTTTCAGGGACTATGAGACAGGGTTTAAATGGGCAGAGATGTATTCAGAGAAGCTCATCTCACCCCCTGTTCTGCTGCTGGTTCTCTGCAGGGATTTAGCCTCTGCTGGTCGTGAGCTGAGTCTGATCAGAGGAGTTACAAATCCTCACTTTTAGGGGTCTTACTGTAATTCACAGGCCTGTTGGCCGCAGTAAAGCGTGGAGGCCCAACATCTCGAGAGGGATTTGAGACAACATCTTTGTTGCCTCCTCATTGTGTTACGGTGAAAGTCGTCCAGCCCCATTGTCTGACCAAACTCCGCTCAGACCTCGGCTCAATCAAAGAAAAGTTTTCCAGTAATGAGGTAAGACATGAAAGCTCATTGAACACAGCGACATGTTGAAAGGGCCCTTTTGATCTTGCCAAGCACAATGGTAAAATTTGAAAAGAGCAAAGTGTGCTTTAAGCAGCAATGCACTGCATTAACCTTGTCTTTTGACAGGCCCACACCTAGAAAAAAGTAATATTCTGCTTGATGGAAAATGTAGTTCATGAGTAATGGCCTCCTTGAGGGGCGGGAGCCGTTGAACCTACCTGCTTTATTTAGAAATTGGCTAAAGAAGAAACAAACAGAGCTGGCCTGAATTCAGAGCTTTGCCATGGCAACCCTCTCTTGGTGCGTTCTGTCAAGTATTGTTTTATATTTCTTACTTATTTCTTAACATATCCATGTATTTATGCAAACATATAGTGTATTAGTAGGGATTTAATTACCGGCTTACAAGTAGCCTCACAATTAATCTTTAATATTTGTCCCCGTCAAGTGATCCAAGATCATGAATTCAAGAGAATGGTACTTCAAAGTTGTCCTTCTTGTTTTATTAAGAGTGATAAAAATGTAATGGTAGCATGCTAGAGCTCACATATTACCCAGCAGCCAGCTATGTCGGTCACAGGTCAGTGCAGGGACGACTCTGTCCCCAGACACTGTTAACTAAGTGGGCCGGCACTATCTCTGCCCATCAGCCCGACAGTCTGTCGACTCCCTGGAGGACGCTATTAAAATATACCTGTCTCCTATTTTGAGTGGCTGATTTATTGTAGAGAGTGGCCATCTATTAACTTCTGTAGGTTAACTGAATGATACACCAAAGGGTTTGACATTTTTTTCCAAGTTTAGAGACTTTTAAAGCTGGCTTGCTGTGATTTTAAGAACAAGACAATTTAGCCGCTAAAGGCAGTACCCTCATGATAATTTCCCTATGATCAGATGAAAGAAACCAGAGCAGGTGTTGCTTGTCATGATAAAAGATGTATATATTCAGAAACCTTCAACAATGTTCTCGACCTTCACCCCCCGAAACCACACACACAAACAAATTCTCCCTCTGACGCCCGCTGGCCTGGCCTGCTAGCGTGTATTCATTTTCCACATGGAGCTATAAGACAAAGGTGGCCCACTCAGGTAATGGAGCGACTCGGAGCATAATCTGCTCAGGTGGAAGACCTCTGTGCTGCCATCTTCACGCCTGAACTGCAGTCAATGACAGACATACAGCCCGACGCCTCTCCCAAAGCATAAACCCACGTCGACCAGCCTGCCAGAAGCTTCTCGCTGCTGTTCCAATAACCCTCTATTCACTGACTTGTCTCTCTGCCTCTTTTATGAATACAGCCTGTGTCCCTCGTGTTCAATTACCTGAGTCAATATGGATGTATTGAACCCCAACATATGAGTCAAATCATAAAGTGTATATACAAGAGCAGGGATGTTATGGCCATCTCAGAGGGGCAGTGAAAATTACACTGGTGATTTGCAGCCCAGGAAGTAAACAAAGTGGTAATATATGAGGGTAATAACACACAAATATGGTTCCAGTGTGGAGAGCATCTGGGCAGTGATTTTGCTTTTCACTAGTCTGACAAGAAGATGTGTTGATGTACTTCAGATCATAGCTTCTTGTAAATGGATAATTTAAATTATGCGATAAAATAAAAAGTCTATATGCCACAATAATGCCTGTGTGAATGGGTTCATATGAGACCATGTGTGCTTTGCGTGTATGAGACAGCTGCTGCTTTTTGGCACACACACGCGCACAGGCACACACACACAGACACACACACACACACACACACACACACACACACACACACACACACACACACACACACACACACACACACACACACACACACACACACACACACACACTCAGGTAGCAGCTGGGCAGGCTCACCTGTCATATTAATAAAACCAGACAATCCCTTCCATCAACGGCACAGCAGCAGAGGCTAAAGCAGACAGAGAGACTGAACAAAAGAGTGGAGAGACGCAAGGGAGAAAATGAGCAGGACGATATGAGGAGTTGGTAACACTTTCTATGGAGCCCATATCCACATTATGTTATAGATACCAGCTTGCTTAAAGGACTTGCTGTAAGCCCTAGTAATGCATTATCACACAAAAATTTTATCAATACCTTTAATTTACACATATTTTACTGTCATGAACACATTCAATTTATGATTACGTAAAGTATAAGGAAGTTCATATGTTCCATAGAACAATTCATAATGGTTAGAATGATTATGAGGAATTGTGATTTATTATTTATAATTATGAATAATGTCAAGTATTATGGAAAAAGTATAATGTCTTGACTAAAGGGAACATACCAACATTAGAGTTATGAATGGTTATAAAACTCTTGCATTGGTATATGTTATAGCACAATATGTAGATAAGCATAATACACTGGCCATATAGGCCTCATGGAAGTAATTGTAAGTAATTGTTTTTAGTATTACAATAAAATCAAAATAAGTATACTGATTGACTGATTGGTTAGTTTATTCAAATGTGGTGCCTGTATATGCTTATGTGACACAAGGCAGCAACAAGACTGTAACATGACAGATCTTAATACCTAAATTAGAAAATCTAAATGTTTCAAAAGGTTCACAAACAACTGAGCCAACTCAACATTTTACCTTCAGGCAACAAAAACAAAGACAACAATAACTGATTTTTGTCAAACAGTGGACACCTCGGGTCACTGTACAGGGACAATGAAACACAAAATGAAATTCCTCGTTAACAACATCAAGATCACATAAAAACACCAGTTTCCCCCTTACCAGTTCTCTGATCTGCCCTCTCTGTAAATTAAAATGTATATGTGCCTCTGTTGTGATCTTTGATTTGAATGTAATTTCTAAGCTTTGGCTTATTCCAAATCTCCTCCTAAGTATAAATTGTACCTTTTTTTGGGAGTCACTGTGCAATCAGACAAGAGGATTGGCTGTGGATGATAGAGCGATGACAACACTGATAAGATAAGAAGAAAGCCCTTTAGAGACTTTCTGATTGTGTGTGTGTGTGTGTGTTCTGTATGTGTGTCTCTTCTGCGTCTTGGTCTGTTTCTGTGTCTGTCTTTATGAGCGTGTGCCGATGTGAGGGTGCATGTTGCTGCTTGCTTGTGTGTGTTCACTTGGCATCAGAAAAGGCCTTGGACGGAGTGAAGAGAGGGCCCAGGGGAGAAGGAAAGAGAGAGAGAGAGAGAGAGGGAGAGAGGTGGTGGAACAATAAAGGGTGGTGGAAAATGACAAGCCTGGTAAAGGAGGGCTTCCTGAAACCACCACATCTAACAGAGTAGGCTGGGCCGCATAGACAAGACCATCCTCCTTCTCTTCCATTAACCCCATGGAGGGCCTTGTTGCCCAGGTAGAGTTGATTCATTGAAGGCAGTGACAGCTGCTCCATGGGTGGGATCCTGCGTGTTTGCTTTTACCTGTAGACTCAGAGGACTCATCCCAAAGCCAATGAAAGCTCTAATGTGTCATAACTGACAGCAAAATGAAAACACTGTCATGGACCCACAAGATCATCTGACAACCTGGTGAGATTGAGGTTGATTAATCTAAATCTATTTCTGTCAGCACAAATAATAATAAAAAAAAAGGTTGATCCCCCCCAACCCCCTC